CGTTCTATATAGAAACATTGAAAGTGATACTGGTCCTGTTCGACAACCTGTTTTGCCACTGTCTTTCAAAGACCATGTATTAGACATTACACGATCACGCAGGTCATCAAGGGATAGAAAGAACTTTGGCATTAATTAAAATGAGATGCTATTGGCCAACAATGCAAAATGATGTAGAACAATATTGCAAAAAGTGTGAACGTTGCATGGTAGCCAAAGCACCAGTTCCCACAGTACGACCACTTATAGGGAATCTTTTAGCGTACCAACCGCAAGAAATTCTAGCAATGGACTTTACTGTTCTCGAACCAGCGAGCGATGGGCGAGAAAATGTACTAGTGATGACTGACATATTCAGTAAATATACACAAGCAGTGCCGACAAAAGATCAAAAGGTAGTTACCGTTGCTAAAGTGCTAGTAAAAGAGTGGTTTGTTAGTTTTGGAATTCCTAGAAGGATTCATAGCGACCAAGGGAGAAACTTCGAAAGCGAAGTTGTAAAAGAACTATGTAAAATGTATGATATCTCTAAAAGTAGAACAACTCCGTATCATCCTGAAGGAAACGGCCAGGTAGAACGATATAATCGTACAATGCACAATCTATTAAGAACATTATCTCCCACGCAAAAGAGGAATTGGCCTGAACATCTAATTTACCGGGTATGTTAAAATTACTTTTTGGGTTTCTGTAGTTCTTTATTTAAAATATACATCTAAAAATAAAAATAATATAAAATAATAGTGTTTCTTTAAAATAATTTTTATTCCTTTGTTTGAATTATCAGTTGTTCATAACAAGACACGCCATACTGAGATTCGGAAACTTTGTGAAATTGAAGTCCGTAAAAGTTAACTTCTAATTGATCGCCATAGAAGTTATCAAAGTATGTCAGTATTTATCTATTAAGTATCCTGTAAAATTTATGTGTAATTTACAGCATATTGAGTGTTTATTATGGAAATTCCTAAATGAGTGGATTGTTTAGGTTTATATATGAGATTCATTGTTTACAAAAAAAGCTTATAGTCAAATTTATTATACCTCCGCTTCGAAGGAGAGGGGGTATACTGTTTTACCCTTGTGTGTGTCTATCTGTCTGTCTGTCTGTCCGTAACAAATTTGTCGTCGCAGTTTTCTCAGCAACTACTCATTGCAGGTGCTTGAAATTCATTTGAAGGATTCATTTTTTTTACGAATCCGTGGTCAACTTCCTGTTTATTCGTGCGTCTGTCCGTACCACACATCACAAATTTTCGTCACAGTTTTCTCAGCAACTCATCGCAGATGCTTGAAATTTTAGCACACCCTTTGTTTAGGCTTGCCATATTCTGGGATTCATTTTTGTACGAAGCTGATGTCAACTTCCTGTTTATCCGTGCGTCTATCCGTACCATACATAACAAATTTTGGTAGCAGTTTTCTCAGCAACTACTCATCGCAGATGCTTGAAATTTTAGCACAACCTTTGTTTATGCTTGTCATATGCTGGGAATCATTTTTGTATGAATGTTATGTCAATTTCCTGTTTATCTGTGCATCTGTCTGTACCAATCATAACACATTTGGGTTGCAGTTTTCTCAGCAACTACTCATCGCAGATGCTTGAAATTTTAACACACTCTTTGTTTAGGCATGCTATATGTTTGGATTCATTTTTATACAAATCCGATGTCAATTTCCTGATTATCACTGTGTCTGTCCATAACTAAACTTGTGTATTCACATCAGAGCGGGGTATTATTAGTGATCACTGGCTCACAGACTTCTTGTTTGAACCTGATGTCTACTGTCTTCCTATTTATCTCTCCGTTTGTACATAACAAATTTTCGTCGCAGTTTTGTCAGCAACTTCTCATCGCAGATGCTTGAAATTTTTGCACACTCCTTGCTAAAAAGCATGGCCTATGGCGGGATTTATTTTTGTTGGAATCCGATGTCAACTTACTGTTTATCCGTGCATCTGTCCGTACCACATTTCCGTCACAGTTTTCTCAACAACTGTTCATTGCAGATGCTTGGAATTTTTGCACTTTTTGAGTAGGCATTTGCCATTTGGTGGGATTCATTTTTGTTCGAATCTGATGTCAACTTCCTGATTACCCGTGTCTGTCCATTTCAAATTTCTGTCAGTTTTCTCAGCATATACTAATCAGATGCTTGAAATTGAAGCACACTCTTTATCTAGACAACTCATATGGTGACATTCATTTTCGTATGAATTCCTATCAACAAGAGAGGGTATATTCACATCAGGGAGGATATTACTAGTGAGCATTCACTCTGACTTCTTATATAGTATATTATTTTATTGTCATGCAATTAAAGAGAGACATTAAATTTTGAAGCCACCTGCTTCAGGGTCAAGAAAAAATTAAAAGACAAAAATGATTTATATTAGTGCATTTAAGGGCATCGATTGATCTTGTCAGTTTTCTTGATAATATTGAAGCATACAAATGAATTTTACCATGAAATAATCATTTCATATCAATATTTATATTTAATATATATTACAATCAGATGTCATGATGGGATCACAAGGAAAGTTACTGATGAACGGAGTATTTCTTACTGACGGTTTTGAATGAAGGTAAATGTGAATGACTGTTTCGTTATTGATTTAAAATTATTATATAATTATATTTATTTTGATATTAATGGAAGATAATTTAATATAATTGTACATACTTGGAATGTGTTTCAAATAAATTATAAACAAAATATAACTTTTCCCCTTTATACATTTATTTATAGATTTTGAAAAAAAAACACAATTCATTAAGAAAATAATATAAATAATATATTTAGGTTCTCCTTTTACAATTTACTCAAGAAAGGTTTACAAATCCACAGTAACTACAGGGATCATTGCGTTTTCCCATCGAGTGTCAATCATTTTCCAAAAGTAAAATGCTCAAGCTACCCTGTAATTTCTGTTGTATGCAATCTTCCAATCCACAATTCTTTGTTGCTTCTCGTCTCGGAAATATAAAGGAATCCTGAATTTCCCTTCGTGAGACACCAGACAATTCCAACAAGTTTAAGTCACACGGAAACCACTGCACTCCGATTCCACGTTGTTTCCGGAGTCATGGAAACGAGAAATCCTAAGGTTTTTAATAGCTTCTCTTCAGAGGAAACCTGAGGATTCCCTCCGATTCCATGTTGTTTCCCAACCTATGGAAACTAGTAGAATCCTCAGGTTTCCAACTTTGGGAAACTACTACGAGGATCGGGAAATGTCAGGTTTGCCGAGGTTTCCGTGGCTTGGGAAACCTCATGGAACCGGAGAGTAGTAGTTTCTGTGCCACGAAAACTTCAGAGAATAACCTAGCATCCGCTACGGAAACCACTGGGAAACGGTGTAAACTTTAGGTTTCCATGTGGTTTCCCATGATCGGAAATGAACTTTTCACCCAGTGTCTAAAACGTTGAAAAGGTCATAATTCCGTCAAAAAATTACTGAAGCCGAGCAAAATAGAAACTTCATCTGTAACTCATCAGGATTCACTCGCATACCAAAAACAATTTAGTATCTGCAAGCTTTTTGTAAAATGCGGAAAACCCCGTGGGACAGTCAGATGGAAAGATAGATAGACAGACGGACGAACGAGACGGAGACCTAAAGTCTCCTCCGATTTCAATAGTAGGGGACTAACAAAACCAATTTCTCCTGGTAAAGAATTCTTCGTAGGAGATCAATCTCAGTCTTGGGTTTATAATTCTAAATACCTATGAATTGAACGTTCTTTTACTGATAACCGTAACTTGCCAATGTCCTCAAGTCATCCATAAACACATTCAGCTAGCTGAAGAACAGAGGGACCATTGTAAATCACAGTGTACAAAGACATACATAAATAAATAAAAGTCCTTTAATAGACGAGGGAATGAAAAGACCCAGTCCTTTGTTTTATTTGTATATTTGTTTTAATGTATTAATTATAATTTTTTATTTTGTATTTAAGCACTTATTTAAAAATAGAATAACAACATTAGATAAACTTGTGAGGTATGCTTAATTTAGATACTATGCTTAATATTAAGATAAACCTTCCACAACAGTTCACTTTTGACAGTAAGATTTATTAAAATGATTCTTGTATATTTTTTGGTCAATTCACGTAGGAAATTTTATTTGAAAAAGAGGTTAATGGTAATCTAACAAAAAAGCTTTATGATAAACGTTATGACTTTCACTTTCCAATCGTCAACTTCCCTTACTTATGCAGCAATATACCCTTATCACCTGCATACGGGGTTTATATCTGTCAGTTGATTCGATACACCAGAGCAAGCTCTGCGTATGAACAATTTCTAAAACGAGGTAAGTTATTGACAAACAAGTTGATGAAACAAGATTATCAGCAAAACAAGAATACCAGCTTTCTCGTTTAAAGTCATCATTTCGTAAGTTCTATGGTCGGTACAATGACCTTGTCAGCAAATACAATCTTTCAACAAGTCAAATGCTGGCTGACTTATTTTCATACTAATTGTTAGGCCATTATTTACACGCTGAATTGTCGACTGATTTTTCCGTTATTTCCCGATCATGACAAGGAGCACCGGCTGGGGTGACCGGTCGGCAGGAAATGATTACTCTTCCATGGCACCTGATCCCACCTCTGATGTTTTAGAGGTCCGTGTCTGCTCTGCTCTGTAATGTTTAATGGACTGTTGAGTTCGAATACTGTTCGTTATCTCCACGTATTTCATTTAGATGGACGACTGTTCATTTACTTCATTTTTTCTCATCACCTGTGTGCATGCAAGAACATTTTCTGTATTTGCGTATATGCCATGGCTGATGGGACATAATAGTTGTCAAAATGTGTCATATGACATGACATACATAGAAAATTACCCTATAGATAAACAGAAGATATTGTTTTTATGTGTTTATTACCAGGGTATATTTTATTAAAGATAAATTTTAATAGCATAACTGGATCTTCTGCCTTTACATGAAATACCTTTCCTTGTATAAAACATGTCTATCCAAAAGCGTACACCTTGTAATAGCGACCATCATCTCGTTGAAAAAGGTGAAGGTAAGGAGACCTAAAGCAGGCGTTCATTCCACGATCAATTACACCAATTGAACCATATGTATTGCAAGAGGAACGAGCCGACTTTGGAAATGAATCGAAAGCTACATTTGCATCATTTCTACGATGGCCAACTCGTTTTTCGATAGCTCGTTTTCCTCCGTGCATGATATGAAATGTATGCGTGGTATGCACATAATTGACGACATGTTGCTGATCTGTAGTAAGATGGGCTTTATGTATGTCAACACTCGCTACCACTACGTTTTTTCCGTGTTGGTTGTTTATGGTTCCTCCTATTCCAGAGCAAACGTGAACCATGTACTTTGTATGATCTGTGCTGTGATCGCTGGTTACAACAAGCCAATTACGCCAGTAGTATTTTTGTGAAATTTTGTCATGCAAGGGATTAGTCAAGTCACAGTTGCTAGCGTGAGCATGGTCTGAAACAAATTTATCCACATCAATGGCCAGTTGTCTTCCGTATTGCGTCATCAGTTTGTGGTCAGCTGCAGTCATTGTGTTTTTTAAATGTTCAAACTTTACTAACCAGTCGTGCTGAATAAAGGAAGATAAGGACGGATTCGCAAGTTCATAATAGGCTATTTCAATTGCCGCTGCGTCTATTAATAATTTTGTAACGCCTAGCATGAATTGTTGAGTCTTCTTTCGATCCCACTCCAAGTGGGTGATGGCCTCATCAAAAATTGGTCCGTTAAAAAGGTTACTTTGACCCATCACTCCGTCGTAAATCTTCCCCCCAGCTTCGTTATATTGTTGAAAGCTGTTGAAAAACAACTGCTTCCTTGCGTTAAACTCGGTTTGACTTTTTGAGGCAGCAAGCGCTCTATATTTTTCTCCAACCACGTGAATTGTGCTCTCGTAAGTACCATAATGGACTTCAATGTTTACCCAGTTAATTTGGCGGGAAATTGTGGCAAACTCATGATCTATACGGTCAAATCTGAGAGTGACGTCTTCGTATAGTTTCTGAATGGCTTGAAGTTCTGCAGAAGGACCTGTGTCAAAAAATCCGAAGATGAAAGATAAGACGGCTCCAATAACGCCCAGGTATGGACTCACAGAGGATATAAGCTTTGATGCCGCCCTGGAAAAGTCCTGACTCTCAATAAATGAACCCAGATCATTTGCCAGGCTTAAGCTGTCGGTTATAGTTGAAGGGTCGATTGCATTCACTGCCGTCCAACAAATAATTCCAAAACAGAAGTAGATGGGACGGAGATTCATATTGCTTCTTAAAAAAACAAAATAAAGACAGAAAAAAATTACAAAAAATAAAATTCAGTGAACAGGCCATTAAAATACCAGAGGGGGGATTAGATGTCTTGGATGCGTAAGCATTCCCTGTCAATTAACCGGCCATACGTGCCGTGAACCCTATGTATTGATTTAGTATACGGAACATTCAACAGTCAAATTAAGTATTTAAAAAACAAAGGCCTAACAATTGGCATGTAACAAGTCTGATAAGCTAGAAAAAAATTATTGTTCCAGTAAACATTTCTGGTATCATGAAAGAACCTTAATGTACTCATCCATATGAGACCTAGTGATAGATTTGGTGAGGGCTTTGCTTTTATATCCATGACTTCATTTATTTAGAAAAGAACTACACACCCTAACTTTCGATTCCTGCCTATATTTTACACCCATTTAATTCAATACTAATGGTAATTTGGTCATAAAATCTTGATTTATAATCTTAATACCAGTGTTAAATAGTTACTCTTAATTCTAGCTCTTTTTATAAGGGGTGTGTGTGGGGGGGGGGGGGGGGGGGTTGTTGTAAACGATGTTTTCCATTGACATCGGGCCTGAAAGCATCATATTTTAAAATACATGGATAAATGTTCTTTAAATCATTCCTTATGTTTTATGCATATTAAATTAAACATGTAATTTGTAAAATACAACGTTTAAATTGTAAACCCTTCGAAATTGGTGAAAAAAATAAGCATTTTTGTCGTTTTTTTTGTCTGTAAACATATGCCTCCCCCCCCCCCCCAAAAAAAAAAAAACACACACACACACAAAAAAACTTTGGTGTGATTTTGTGAAATAACAATCCATATTAAATACCTGTGAAACGGAATTTTTGTTTCACGGGGGGGGGGGGGGAGATTTTTAAAAATAATTTCTTTTTTCTGTTGATTTCTATAGTGAAAAGCACAAGTTTTACCAAAATTGTAGAATTATCTCTCTGTGCTTTCCCAAATAAGTAATTTTTTTTAAATTCATATAAATATCTGCATAAATATGAAAAATCAATCAAATATGTTAACTTTTGAAATTTAGCAATTTTTTTTTCTCCGTCAGATTTTGTAAACTTAGTGAGTGAATGTCTATTTTGAAAATATTTATTACGCAGCGGAACTTTTGTATTGATATGCTAAGAAAAAATGTGTACAAAATAATTGGTAGGAGATTATTTTTAAGTGGGATATCAATGGGCTTTTCTACATGCAACAAAGAGAACGTGATTATCAAGAAAACAACAACATAGATACTTCTGTATAAAGCTGTCTTTGTTTGTTAAAAAGATATTGGAATGTTTTCAGTAATAATCTTCTTTTATATATATATATATATATATATATATATATATATATATACTACTTTTCATTACTTGACATGATATTCTGTATATATGTAAACGTGTTAATGTACCTCATGTACCATTGTATGGTTTGAGAGTAATAAACAAACAATATAAATTGTCAACAATAGCACATATATATATATATATATATATATATATATATATATATATATATATATATATATATGCTGATGAAAGTATTATTGATTTCCCATAAACTGTATACGGTTTCAAGTTAAAATTTTCACGATTGGGGGGGGGGGGGAGAGGTGCTTGTCTGTCCTTAAGATAAACAAAAATGCATTATATTACATTAAGATTAATTCGTGCGGCTTATGTCCGTACATGTATTTTTATTGATCATTTCAAAACTATTAAATTATGGTTTAAATGAATTATTTAACATTTCGAAGCAATACCGAATTAACCTTTCTAATTATAGGTAGATAAATATATATAAAAAGAATATGGTATATTTTTATTTGATTTTTCTTGAATTGGGAATGAGATTTTTTCCGTTCTAGCATTTAAAATTTTATTCTACTCCTTGATAGAAGGGGAGAAAATTACATTTAATATTCTAGAAAGTTTGTAGCCACTTTGCATTTTGTTAAATGTTACTTTTTATTAAATTAAGATTTATGAGAATTTCTTCTTATACATCAGTTATTTTTCTCCAGAACATGAAGAAAAATAATTATAGTACATTCTCAATTGACACGTGTTATAAGGGAATTTATCTCCATTATTTATTCATATGAAGAAAGTTAGTAGTTATTTACCGTAGTCTCCAATCTTCTGCACTATCAGGAACCTATTGTTGGTGTGTTACATGTAGTTGGTGAACTTGCTAATATATTCTAGGATTCCATAATCGTTCCCTTGACCTATATTTGCACCCCTTGAACCAGAATTAATGTTATCTTTGCATGACCCATTTTATTCCATGTCATATCTATGACTGATGCGTTCTTATAACTTATAACTATTCTTGTACACCTTTTTAACTCTATACTTATAAATTAATAAATTTTGCAAATAAACTATGAAATGCCTGTACCAGAGTTCATACTTACTCCTTTAATGCTACACTTGGTATGAAGTGATATGCAAGTTTTAGTGGCATAGAAATGATCTTTAATTTAATTCAAAAGAACTTAAATTTTCAATAGACAGACGTGAGATAGCAACACAGAGAGTACAATCTTATGGTGGTTCGGGTTGATGGATCTAGGTAATTGACAGTATTTAATGAAACCGACAACAAGCAATCGTTTAAATATTTCATAAATCGGCATTAATGAATCATCCAATCCAAAATCGTTTTAAGTGATACAAAAGAAATAAGTGGGGTGATATCTGTTTTAAGGGGGTCGACTGGGGTTTTCATTGCGCAATACTTCGCGCAGCATAGTAAAACAAAGGTATTTACTCTTTTAAAGCAACTATTTTTACATAATTTATAAAAATTAACAAATTTAGGAAATCTAAGGTTAAAAAATCTAATTACGTTTTTAAATAACTGATTTTTTGAACGATATTTCAAATGATGGGTATACTGACGTCGTAATAGTGTGTTTTTGACGTTATGAATAACCGAAGTTCTTTAAGAGGGGTCATTAATTATGCCATAGAATAAAAAGTATAAAATACATGCTCTTGAAATTTTAAAAATAGGAAATTGAGAATCTAATGATCATTTTTATTATTTTTTGTGTAAATCTGTGGTATCTGTCATGTTTTGTTGTACTCCATAAAAACATGAAAATATCATGAATTTTGACATTTTGAGATGCTCCTTCTGGAAACCAGACGGTAGAATTTTGTGTTTCATGCACAAAATCTACAATATAGTATTACCCATTAAATATTATAATTTGAGCAAAAAGTCTATAGTAGCACTTGTATAATTTGCTTCGAAGTGCGAAAAAATGGTATTTTCCTATATAATCCTATAGTAAATGTACCTGTATTTTGAGATGCTCCCTAAAAAATATCCAGACGATAGATTTTCACTAAACTTGGCATGTATACCGATGTCAATGTAAGGTACATATTATATAAAATTAAAGAGTTTCTCTAAAGTAGTTTTCACACAATAAAACCCCAGTCGGCTCCATTAAAAAAAAACAAACCAAAAACCGTTTTTTTTTCAGTCACTGATTTTACTCTTCCTGCTATAAGCCTATCTTTTAGGATTAAAAATTTATTTTAAGTTATACTATTGCAATTGTTCCGTCAGCAGTGCTAAAAATTTCAAAAATTGCTTAGTTTTAATTTCGTCAGATACGGATATATATTTAATTGCTGTGTTAAAATTTAGAAATTTATTTCAAAATTAAGGATGATCTCCCTCGTGCATAGCTCCGATCCTTCGACGTATTTGGCTCCAGTCTTTGGCACCTTTTTTCAGCTCTTCCACGTCTTTTTTATTTAATATTTTGGATTTCCAACGTTTCGGCTTGAGCATCACTGAAGAAACAATCTGTCGAAATGCGCATCTGGTGCATCAAAATTGGTTCCGTATATGATTAACACCATGTTAAAATTCAAAGAATCGGTCACCACATTTTATAAATATTATTTTGGAAATTAAGGGTTATTGTGTGATAAATCTAGAAATAATATTTCTATAAATTGTAAGATATTTCTGACACGATAAGCAGTATTTCTTTGGACTTTGTAAAATTGGTCTGTATTAGAAATACGGAACAGGACCACTGAAGGTTGGGGTATCGTCTCTTTTGAATTCTGCGTTGTATAAACCAACTATGAAGATCGTTCAAAATTAAATCCGATTCAGTATATCAAAATCTCGTAGAAATGGGAAAAAAAGATTGATTTATGTGGTTTATATGGTCTCATCCGAAGAACAGAAGTAGCGGGATTCGAACCCGCCACGTAAGAATCGACTCTACTCCTTCAAGTAAGAGCCTCGGTTAACGTCGGACTCCACAACAGAAGGCCATTTTTCTAACCGCCTGATAATTTGGTCGGAACGTATTAAGCGTGAAATAAATTGTAAACAAGTAATTCTCAGGTACCTGGGATATAAAAGTCATTCTTTAATGTTCAAAGCCTGAATTGTTAATTAAACAATTTATTTCCACTTTGGGTTTCAGCGGCAAGAATTTTTATAATGGATGCTAGAGGTTACGCAGCGCCAATTCAAAAGTATCTCGCCGTAAATCTCTAGCATGCTAGAGTAGGATCGATTCTATATGCCGAGACTCAATAGCCAACCGTTTTAATCCCAGCGAAACGCGGGCGATCTTTGCAGAAAGTAAAACTTCAAGCCTATTCTCAGTTGGCATATGTTACTAAAAGATTTATCTCCAATTTATTTATAGTAAGAACTTGATTGTTATTTACCATTATCTCAAATCTACTGCACTGTTAGGAACCTATTGTAGGTGTGTTACATGTAGTTGGTGAAAAAACTTGTATACTTTATATTCCATAACTTCACATTATTTCACCCTGATCGATTTTTGCACTCCTTTGAACCAAAATTACTGTTACGATGTTATCCTTACATGACCCCATTTCTCCATGTCATATTTATAATTGAAGCATTTTTTAACTATCTGTAGCAACCCCAGTAGAATTTTATAGATCTTATATAAAGTA